TCCCTCCATTCACCTCCATACCCACCCTCTTCTCCCTCTCTCTCTCCCCTCCCCTTCTCTCCCATCCCTCTCTCGCCCATCCTCTCTCTCTTCTTCCCCTCCCTCTCTCCCCTCCCCCATCCCTCCCCTCATCCTCCTCTCCCCTCCCCCTCCCTCCCCCTCTCCCCTCATACCCAGTCTTCTCTCTCCTCCCCTCCCTCTCTCCCCTCCCCCTCGCCCACCTCTCCCTCCTCCCTCCCCCCCCCCCCCCCCCCCCACCACGACTCGATTAGCGTTCTCTGATTAATTGCAGTATTCGGAATTCCGGCGATTACTCATTCCCAATCTCTGATTAATTGGATCCCTAAATTCACTGAGATTATTCTAGATTATTCGTCGCTTTACTGACGAATTAAATCTCCTGCATTCCCTTCTAGACCCCCCCCCCCCCCACCCCGACCCCTACCCCCCCTCCACTGGTCGCTCCTCTCCCCCCTCATACACTTCGCCTTCTGACCTTGTCGTCTTCCTCTCTCTCTCTCTCTATCTATCTCTATCTAACTATCTATCTCTATCTCTCTCCTTTTGTCTCTCTCTCCTTCTCAATCTATCTATCTGTCTCTTTATCTCTCTCTCTTTGTTTCTCTGTCTATCTGTCTCTTTGTCGTCGTGTTATTATTATTTTCATCACTATCATCATTATCATTTTCATAATCTTTATCATCATTAAAACGATAATGATTATTATTATTACTACTAAAATAATAATGATTATGATTATCATTACTAGAACTATCATTGTCATTATCGTCTGTATCATTATTATAACTATTATCATTATCGTTATTATAATGAGTATCGCTTATAATGAGTTCATTATCATTGCTATTATCTTTATTATATTACTATTATCATTATTATCATCATCATTATTAATTAATATTATTCATCACTTTATCATTTATTATATATTATTATTCATAATCAATAATAATCATAATCACTATTATTATCATAATCATTATGATCATCATTCGATTTTATTATTATTACTATTATCATATTATTATCATTATTATCATTATTATCATTATCATATCATATATCATTATCCACCATCATCATCTCCGCCAAGGAGGCTATAATTTTGGTCGAGTTGGTTAATTTGTTTTGTTCGTTCTTTAGCAATAGAACTCAAAAAGTCATGTGTAGGAGTGTCTTGGCCTAAATTAGATGCCATTAAATTGATGTTGCGATCCGGATAATAACTGTTCGTTCGTTAGCAGGATAACCGAAAAAGTGATGAACAGATTTTAACGATTTTTTCCAGAGCTGCGTCTTGGCCTCAGTCGATTTTTGGTAGTTAACCGGATCACGATCTGGATCCAGGATTTTTTTTAAATTCCATCATCACCCTTATTGCTATGTGGTGTTGGGCCTCCGGGGCTTTGGCGGAAAAGAACGTTTCCTTTTTCTTTCTTTCCTTTTTCTTTATTTTTTTTTTTTGTTCTGATGCGTGAATTTGATATATAAGAGGAAAGTGATGCTACGAAATCATCTTAGTTGTAATTGCACTGAAACTGATAAAAAGAAATATATAAATAAAATAAAAAGTGACAAAAAAAAAAAAAGAAAAAAATATATATATATATATACATATATATATATATTATATATATATATATATATATATATATATATATATATATATATATATATATATATATATATATTATATATATGTGTGTGTGTGTGTGTGTGTGTGTGTGGTGTGTGTGTGTGTGTGTGTGTGTGTGTGCTGTGTGTACATATATACGCATGGACGTGTATGTGCTTTAACATATGTAAATAAACATGCAGTGAAATACGCTTTCACCTTTTGACTCATTCACCGGTAAAAATATGGTGTACATTAGAACGTGTCTGCATGTATGTATTTCCGTTCTCATTTTTCCGGCGTGTGTGCGTGTCCGTCTGTATATGCGTATGAGTATACATGCTTTATCGGTGGCCGGAAATTAAAAAAAAAATGTGTTTCATGACCGATGGTGTTTTGTCTTCCCGTAAAGCGAGATCAACTGATAAGTAGATAATGGCATTTGATTTAATCCATGGCCTGCACCGTGCATTAAATAACCATTTAATCACAGAAATACTTCCCGAGTGAGTGTGAATGTGTGGTTTCTTTATGTACGTGATAGAGAGAATAAGCCTGGCAATTCATACGTACACGCAATGTTTGGCTAAGAAACTGTTAAAGTTGAGGGACTAACACGTTATAATGATAATAATAGAATTGTTATTATTATCATTATTAATGTTATCATTACTATTATTATTGGTAGTAGTAGTATTATTACTATAATAATCATTATTATTTACTGTTATTTTCATTATTACTATCATTATTATAACTATGACTATTGTCATTTTACTATTATTATTATAACTACGATTATTATCATTGTTATTACTATCATTATTGTTATTATCCTTTTTATTATTGTTGTTGTTATCACCA